TCTCTCTCTCTCTCTCTCTCACACACACACACACGCACAACGGGTCGCTTGGTTGTACTTTCTCTCTCTCTCACACCCTAAATATCATACCAATAAAAGTATGTCCTAATGTTCCACAATACTAAAATGCTCCATGCTACAAGACTACCTCTTTTCTCTCACACGCACACACGTATGTATACACACAAAAAGAACATTCTCTTTTATTCAAAAATAACACCTACTCTTTATATAACTGCCACTTGCATGCTACAGGGGGCGAAGGCAAGGGCTGAGAAGTCCGAAAGTGTGCAGGCTTGGGCACAGGTTGAAACAACACTTGCAACAGATGTGTCTCGCCCTACTTCTAAACCTCACCAATAACGCCTCCTTTATCAATCAACCATATACAAACTACGGGCTGTGTACCCGTGCCCTCACGGTAAGTCAATTTATGATTATCTATCTATCCTTCGTGTTCAGTTTCTGGGGTCTGGTCCCACCTACCGTTGTTGAGTTTAGAAAACTTAACAGTGTGATGCCATTTTGACATTAATAAATTCGACACAAGAAATTAAAAAACTGAAAAAAAAAAAAAAAACCCGCTAGAAACAGCGTTTCTCCTTATTTTTTATAACGTAACTCGGAGAAATGAAACATGTCTGGGACAGTCGGAGTGAATGTCTCCATGAAAAAAGGATACTCGCCATGGTGAGGGGACAGGAGGTCACCGTTTGTAAAATGGACAGGGACAACGTGGATGGCCAAATGCATTCATTGCCCACAGAAGGAAACCGGTTGGATGCCAGACGGCCAAACACAGCTGTTAGAGTTCCTCCGTTTCAGGATGCAATGATGTCTGAAAAACCAAAAAACAGGAGAGGCACTGCAGTTGAGAAATGTACCCTACCCTCGGTAGGGTAGTTTTCTCAATGGGAAATGGTTTCCCGTTGAAAGGGCCAAGGCATACGACAAAACGGATTTCATGTCAAAGGAATATTCCTTTTTTTTTTTTTTTTTTTTTTTATAAACAGAAATCAATCTTTATTGCGAACAACTTCACTGGGAGGTCGGGGACCTCACCATTCAACCCGGTAGAACCAGTTCCTGACAGCAGTAGTCAGTTTAGCTTCCAAGCTTCAGAGAGGGGTTATAAACTAGGCTCAGCTCCGGCCCAAACGGCCTCCGAGTCTGTCCTGCTGCCTCTCTCTAAGCAAAAATAAACAACGCCTTCAAGGCCTACAAAGCCTAACAAATCCAAATCCAACGGACCGAATGCTTCTCTTCTCAATCCTATCTCTTTTTTTTTTTTTTTTCTTTTTTTTTTTTAAATCTCTAAATTCTCCTACTTCCTCTTGTTCGACCACCTAACTCGGTGGTTGGACCGACTGGTCCCTCCATTCTATGACCCTACCTCTTCCCTTGTTCCCTCCGCCCGTCTCCTGGGACCCCTCCAAGTCCCGCCAACCGAGTACCCAGGTTTTGTCTTCTGCTCTATTTACTGTAGAACCAGTCGTCCAGTCTAAGCTGTCCTGCTTCCAACTTTGCCATCTTTCCATTCTTGGCCCATGTTTCTGCGAACCAACGCAGACCCACCCACCTCCTTGTTCCTTGTCTTCCCCGCCTTTCTCCTCCAATCTGCCAGAATTGATCGTCTCAGCATTTGGGTGAAGGTCTTCCTCATCTGTTGATTTGTCCATTCTTTATTCCTGAAGACCCTGTTGCTTCTTTCCTGCCATATCACTGTACAAGCAACCGCTCTGGCCGTCTGAGCAACATATCCCCAACCTGACCCGACGCTATACCCTTCCTGAATGCCTCCCAATAGCACCCTTTTTTTTTTTTTTTTTTTTTTTTTTGGTCCACTGAAATGTTTCCTTCCACACATTGATCCCACCACTTCCAAATTCTGCCTGAGGCTGGGCAGTCCCACCACAGGTGCACAGTGGACTCGAATGCCCAGTCACATCTTGTGCATTTCATTTCCACCTTCACTCCATGCTCTGTCAACCATACCGCTGATGGTGTTGCCACCATCGATAGTAACCACAAGAAATGAAAAAATCTAATATTAGGTTATTCAGACTCATTCTCCTGTATTTGGGTACCCTTAGATTCTCAATACATCAACGGCAGAGCTCCGTCCCACCATGCCACACCTGATAGAAAGCTCAGCGTTGAGAAAACTCAACGCTGTAGGTGGGACCAGACCCCTGGACTACCGCCGACATGGCATCTGAAGGAGAAAAAAGCTCAGAAAAGCCTCCTTTTTTTTTTTTTTTTCCTATTTTGGAAGTACTCATAAAACTGAGGAAAGTGGTCTTTTTTTTTTTTTTTTTTTTTTTTTTTTTTTTCAGAGTATTCCATGTGTGACATTGGGACGTGCTCCGCTACTCACCACATGCACATACGACGAAAAATGACAAAACATATGGTGGTGCACACTGTTGGTAAAAAAAAAAAAAAAAAAAAAAAAAAAAGAAAAGAAAAAAAAAGAATAGCAGTTGTTCAATGACACAGGTTATTGGGCACCAGTTGATATGGCAACACAGACTTGGATACGGCGATCGATCAGGTGCTGACTCTATTCAGGGTAATTTGAACATGTAGAGATCGGCGTGGGCCCTGAAGCCTTAGTACAGCCCCCTATTCAGGGCCCATAGTTCAAGAACCGTGGGTTGATCTGTGCTATCTACGGTCAATATCTCTTAATCCGTGTAAGTGGGACCTAGCCCCGTGTGACCCCATTACTGTTTCTCCAATCCCGACCAAGCTGGTGCTACCTGCTCTGGGCCTGTAGCCCTCGGACTGATGGTAGCAGTGTCCCGCTTGCGGCCCAGGCTGCTGCAGTGAGACTAAGGGATACCCTGGTACCTGGCCGACGAGGCTCTTGGGTGGATATAGCCTATAGGGGACCACCAGCCAAATTGGGGGGACATTCGCCTGGCCTATTCAGAAGGCAGATAGAGAAACTTGAATTTTTTTTTTCGATAGCTTTCCTCTCCCTTCACTCCATCACGTCTTCTCCCCTCCCACAGAAGCTGCTTGAATTGACTGCAAGGAGCTGGTTTGGGGTGTCACCAATGAAAGGTCACGACATGGAGCGCTGCTGCATGCATCAGGCACGCTGCTCCACAGCAGCGGAAGCTTCTCCTCTGAAGGTCATGAACAACGGTTTGAGTCCGTTCGACTGATATTGGGAGAGTCTCAGAGCGCTGCGTACACCAGAGTAGATTGTAACGAGACCGAGATTGATACATGCATCGCCCGTGAGACATTCGGGGACGCGGCTGTTGCTCGGGAATCCCTGTCGTGATCGTGAGGTGTGGTTCTTCCTAGTCCACGGAAAGCGGAGAGTGGTAGAGTGGTTTGTGGTACACGATTGAACGAGATGAAAGCGAAGTTCAAAAATTTATCCCCGTGCCTTCGGTGTATAAATATTAAATTCACTTCGGAATCCTTGACCGTGTGCGGAGTAAACTTATTCGTCACAGCGTACAAGTGGATCGT